CTTCTTCTTTATTATTATTATATTATTATTATTATTATTATTATTATTGGCTCCTGGGTGGCTCATTCAGTTAAGCAGCCAACTCTCAATTTCTGCTCAGGTCGTCATCTCGTGGTTCATGAGTTTGAGCCCTGTGTCGGGACTAGGATTCTCTGTCACCCTCTCTCTGCCCCTCCCCTACTCACGTGCACACGCTCTCTCTCAAAAAAATTTTTTTTTAATTTAAAAACTGTAGTACTAGAAAACTTAAATTTATGCAGCCCCTGTTGCGCTTCTGTTAGATGGCAATGGTCTACGGTGATAGAGGGTGCTGTGGGAACCAACTCAGAAGGGCAGCATGTCAGGGGGTAAAGGAGTGCTTCCTGGAGGACCAGATGCATCCTGAGCTGAGTCTTAAAGGATGAGCAGAGGTTACCCAGGCAAGGACACAGCTTGAGGATATTCTAGATTGAGGTGACAGGAAGGCCCAAGGAAAGTGTGCCATTGGGGAGGAGCCCTGGGAACAGTTGGTTGTTATACAGCCTAAAGTGTTAGGAGCTGGGGACTGGAAGATGATGAAGCTGCCTGAGAAGTGAGGCCTGTCTTCCTACCATTTAACATCTAGTCGTCATTAAATGCCCTGGTTCTTGTCTTACGCATGAGGTCTGACTATGTGTCCACTCTTTGTCTGAAGTTGTGTGAACTATTGGCTGTTGAAAGTTTGAGGTTTCTGTCTCTACAAGAATAAGACGATCCTGGAAGATAAAACTAAGGCATGCACGTATGCTACTCGGAAGGCAGGATGTTATTTTCCCTTCTGTACACAGTCCTGGAGAGTGGATAGCAGGCTCACATTTCTGCTTCAAGTGTAGACCTAATGAATGAGAAACCTAGAGGAAGGTGAGAGCTTTTGGTATGCTCTCATTCATTGGGTCCAAGGAGAGTATACATGACTGCATTCACACCCATCTCTGTGTCAGTGACCTTCAGTGGACTACCTCCCACCCCCAAATTCCCACCAATAAGGAATATAATTGGTCTTGGAACAACACAGCTTTGAACTGCACTGGTCCACTTACATGCAGATTTCTTTACAGTACAGTACTGTAAATGTATTTGCTCTTAAGATTTTCTTAATATTTTCTCTAGCTTACTTTAAGAATACAGTATATAATACATACATGAAATATGTGGTAATTGACTATTTAGGTTATCTGTAAGGCTTCCAGTCAACAGGCTATTAGACACATCTGGGGGGAGTCAGAAGTTATACATGGCTTTTTGACACGGAGAGTTGTTGCTCTTGACCCCTGCCATTATTCAAGGGTCAACTGTATAATCATTTATCAGATTACACTAATTGGGAAGCTCATTATATCCACTCTATCCCAAATCACCCTCAGGTCTTCTGCCTTTAATAACTAATTATTAAATGGACATTTAGTAGGTCATGCAGGGTGAAAGAGGAGTACCAAAGGAGACTGAAAACCTAAGTGGATGGAGAAGCTGGAGAGTGACAAGACATCTTCAACATCTGCTTCTCACTCTTTAACGTGCACGTGAATCAAACAGATCCTGCGAAGATACTGGTTCTAATTCATTAGGTTTAGGGGTGGAAGCAACAATATGCATTTTTTTTTTTTGAGCTTCCGGGTCATGTCAGTGCTACTGGTCCATGGACCTCACTTTGAGTTACAAAGTCTTCAGAGTCAATTTAGTACAAATCTTTACCCACGGCTGGAAACTGCATTGCAACAGCCCTGATGAGTCATTAGAAGCCTCTGAGGGAAGACCTATCACGTGATTCACCTCCTCCTCCTTTGTGGAGTAAGTCTAATTGTTGGAACAGTTTTTCTTGTCCCTAGACACTATCTGGGAAATTTCTATGCATTGGTCCTTGTTCTATTTCTGGAACCACGGAGATAATGAACCTGATCTCTCTTTCTCATGACAGCCATTTGGAAATTTGAAGAGTATTTTTATATTTCCCTGAATTCTTTTCAGTACATTAAATCTCATCTCCTTTCGCTGTTAATCATAGGACCCTCTGGGCTGTCCTGGGAATCTGTTCTTTAAGTGTACCTCCTGTAATTGAGCACAGCAGTCTTGCTTTGTCTAAACATCAGAGAGTAAGATGGGCCTATTACCTACTTGGCTGTTGATTTTCTGCTTCTGCTAGAGTCCTCCATCATCTTGGCCTGTTGACTACTCTTTGGGTGTCACTGCTTGTAAGCCCCTCTTAGTGAACAGAGCTAGAGAATATATGTATGCTTACATGTACGTGTATGTCTATGTATTTTCTCATTTGTCCATCCATCCTTCTGTCCATCCATCCATCCATCCATCCATAGAAACCTCTGAGTTCAGCATGATAGATTTACTCCAATCCAGTTGCATAGGTATATTGTAGTTTTCTCCCTTTCCATGTTTATAACTCCCTTCCCTGGAAGTAAAAACAAACAAACAAACAAACAAACAAACAAAAAACCTGCCCTCTCATATCCTTAAGATAGTTACCTGTGTGATCAAACCCTTGGGTAAAACCAATCGTCTATCCATCACCGCTGTCCTTCCCCTGTGCACACTTGCCTCACACCACTCACTTCCCAACACACTCCCACTTCTGAGACTCAGCTAATAGTTTTTGGGCTGAACTATTTGGGAAGGCAAGGGGAAAAGGAGGAGGAGGAGGAGAAGTTGTTTTTTCTCTTTTGACTTGTAGATGAGTGAATTATACTAATAGGTTTTTCTAATATTGACTCATCCTTGGACTCATGCATTGTGCCCTGCTTTGATTTTTCTACTCTTTCATTTAAGATTTCTTGGTAAGTTAATTTATTTTGCTGATCTGAAAAGGCTTTGTCATGCAAGAAATGTTCTTAGACATTCCCTTAATCTCATTCTCTTTGATTTCTACAGGGGGAATATAAAGATTTCTCCTGACTTGTGTGAATTTTTCCAGGGTCCTTTCTTTTGGAAATGCTACAAGATGGCTGTGTTTTCAGTGGTGGAAATTATCGATAGGTCTCAAAAGCAAGGAATCACAGAATATCTGCTTTCCAGTAGTGATGTATGACTCACCAAAGCCACAACATTTTTTATAATGCCCTTAGTTTTTTTCATAGAAACAGAACTGAGATTCCTAGTATTTCCTGGAATTTTTTTAAAAAAGGAAGGAAAAAAAGAATTCAAGGAGATGTCCATTTGTTAGCCCATCACTGGCACGCATCAGCGTTAAAGAGTAATTGGTGAGTAAACCAGTACCAATACCACAATCCTTCATGTCCAGCCTGCCCCCAAAGATTTTCTTGGAACCGACCAGAAGGTTAATTGAAAATATAAATCTGCTTTGGAAAGCATTTGCATTTCAAGCGGAGATGGAATTTGGGGAAGTGCCATGTAGACGTCTGTCATTCTACAAGTCATAATTATTGTCAGTGACCCGAGACCTGGAGCGGATAATGATGGTTAAATAATGTCCATGGTGTTGCTCTTGGGGAAAGCCTTTGTCCCCACCTGATCATTCCCACATTACCTTGGGTCTTTTATGCCTCAAGTGCATATGTTGCTTCTGTTTATCTGAGTAGTTAATTTTGGAGGCAACCATTTTGCAGATCTGATTTCCTTCCTCTGACAGACAAGGCCTGGATTGCTCTCGTTCTTCCCCATCTCTCACCAGTCCTCCCACCATTTCTGTTTAAAGAAGATCTTTAATATGTATGTAGACCCATCCCAAAAGGTCTACATGCTACATGTGCACATGCACATATACCCGCAGTGCACGTGTACTTCTGTATATGTTCTTTTTAATTTTTTTTTCTTGACTAGATCACTCCTAAAAAAAAACATTGGAGTATGACAAAAGCTGGTAAAAGAGATGAAAAGGATGATACTTTTTGGTTAGGGAGTTTGAATTAATTTTTGCCATGACAAGTTGACTATTGGGGCACTGTGCGTCCCTGTGAATTGCACGCTTCAGCTACGTCCCTGGCTCTGTTGACTCACAGAGAGAGTAATCCAATTATCCAAATAGGGAAATGCCTGAAAACAATGAATAATCAGAAGTTGCATTTTAGAAGCATGCTCATTCATAAAACTGGTAGGTCACGTTCATTTTAGAAGTGCATCAGCAGGAATATTGTCTGAGCCTGCACTTAGAACATTCATTCATTCAGTCAGCAAACACATATTGAGAGCCTTCCATGTGCTGGACACTGTCCTAGGTGCTGGAGATGTATTAATTAGCAGAGAGAAACATGGTCCCTGATGGTAAATTTTTTTTTTTAACGTTTTATTTATTTTTGAGACAGGGAGAGACAGAGCATGAACGGGGGAGGGTCAGAGAGAGAGGGAGACACAGAATCTGAAACAGGCTCCAGGCTGTGAGCAGTAAGCACAGAGCCCGACGCGGGGCTCGAACCCACGGACAGTGAGATCGTGACCTGAGCCGAAGTCGGACGCTTAACCGACTGAGCCACCCAGGCGCCCCCCTGATGGTAAATTTAACAACTGGTTTTTTTGAACCAAAAGCTCTGATGTTTCATATTTTGCAATGCCTATGCTCTAAATACTCCCACCATAGCCAATTTCAAGCTCCCCAAGTTCTGCAGTGCCTGGCACATAGAAACTGGCCACCATCATCATGTTCCTATCTTGATCATCATTAGGCTTGCTTTGACAGCATAATAAAAAGAAGCTCATGACCTACAGGGGAAGAGTCGAAGATGTGCTCAGGGGAGTGTGTGGAGAAGGGTCTGAAAGATGAGGGACATTCCTTTTTCTTTTTTACTTAAAATCTGTAAGATGTGCATTTTTAGAAGTATGTATTTTATAACCTTTAAAGAAAGAATTTACAGTGCCCAAGTGACCAAGCATGGCTTTCACATGGTTCTGGCCAGATGTGACCACATAGTGGATATAAGACCGTTATTCCAAGTCCCATATCACAATATGTGAATCCCTGATAAATGACTGTTGTTTTCCTGGTGAGAAGTGACTTAAACTTTTCACAGAAGATAAGCATTCAATTTGCTGCAGAACAAGTCACCCCGAAACAGTCGCTTAAGCTAATGACGATATTTATTTTGCTCACAGGTTTGCAATTTTGGTGGGGCATGGTGGGCACATTGTGTCTCTTCTCTTTGGCATCAGGTGGGGTGACTGGAAGGCTCCGAGTAGAATTCTCTGAAGGGGCATGCCTGTGTTGGCAGGGGATGCTGGCTGTTGGCTGGGACTGCAGTTCAATGGGGGTCATTTGTCTCTCCAAGGTAAGTGTCCCAAAACAGAGCCAGGTGGAAGCTATATCAGCTTCTATGACCTAACCTTAGAAACCCTACACCATCACTTCTCCATATTCTTGTCCGCGGTGGAGGTGGGGGTGGGTCACAAAGCATCACCCAGGTCCAAGGAGAGGAAAATTAGATTGTACTTCTCTCTCTACGCAGGTTCTGCAGGAAGGTGTGGGACTGGAATATTAATGTGGCCATTTTTGGAAAAGACAACCTGCTCCAAGAAATTCTCACCTTTTCCATGTCATCTGTACCAGCTGTAGCTGCAGAGAAAATGTGAAAAGTGAGCCAGATTCTCTCAGCTGCCCAGCTGCACGTGAGCATTGCAACTTCTTCACGCCAAAAATAAGGCACGGTGTAAGCTGTCAGTGCTTAGCTGGGAAACCCAACAAATTTTCATGTTGTATTTCCCATGCCTAGCAGAGCCATGAGTTTTTTTTTTAAATTTTTTTTTCAATGTTTATTTATTTTTGGGACAGAGAGAGACAGAGCATGAATGGGGGAGGGGCAGAGAGAGAGGGAGACACAGAATCGGAAACAGGCTCCAGGCTCTGAGCCATCAGCCCAGAGCCCGACGCGGGGCTCGAACTCACGGACCGCGAGATCGTGACCTGGCTGAAGTCGGACGCTTAACCGACTGCGCCACCCAGGCGCCCCGAGCCATGAGTTTTAAATTCCCTGTGAACTGTCAAATATAGCTTAAGCAAAAAAAAAACAAAAACAACAACAACAAAAAAAACAGATGAACTCATGACCGGGATGGTGGAAGTCTACCTTTGCTTGGTTGGGCTCTGTATTTTAATTGTTGTCTCTAAGCTTTCTCAAAGAGCACAGCTAGGAGATTCTTCAGTGCATATAGGTGTCCTTATGCTTGCCAGCCACACGATGGATAAGGCTGTGTTGAACTTCATGTAGTGCTTCAGGGTCCAATGCATGCTTCCTATTATCTACTTACTAGGGTTGGAGTTGGTTCATTCATTTGTATCCTCAGTGTCCCTTGGTTCCCCACTGGGGCATGCATAAATAGAACATATTAACAGGAGACTAACAGGTAATTACCAGATATGTATGGATTGCCCATAGAGTAGCACTTAGAGAATTGTCAGAAAACATCCAGTTAATGCAGTCTGCTCAATTGGAATCTTAATTTATGGTATGAATTGGTAGCCCCAAACCAGCGGTGTATTAGACCTTCAGGGACTTTAATTTTTAAAGACACTATTATTATAATTTTATACTTCTGAACCAATCCAAGTTCTTTCCTAATATAAGAAGATGAGGTCATTGTGTAACAGAGGTCTCAAAAACTAAGCTGTTTTGGCAATTCACATTTAAAACAAAATGGTTCATGGCTGGATAAATCAAATGGAATTTTAACAAAGTTTTGTCCCCAATCTTTTCTTGTTTAAGCTGAAGACAACCATGAGGTATTTCAGCTAAGACAAGTCAGTATTTTGCTTTGCAGAAATTTGTTGACATTTTTAGCAGTCCCTTTTCTCCTGTAACTACAGTGCCAAATGAGCAAAATGAGTGTACTGACAGCCAATACTGTCCCTGCTTCAATGGAATTCAAACATTGTGTGTCCAGATATTTCTGTTCCTTGACATATACTTGTGAGGAACATTGCTAATATCCCCAGCTCAGACAGTTAATTATAAAAATGATCAGTGAAGATAGCCTGGTGGTTCTTCAGTTCACCTAGGGGGAGCTTGGGGCTCACTCCCCAAAGATGCTCTTTCACAGGCCCATATGAATCTTGAAAATTCCCCTTATGATTCTGGGTACCATCCCAGCCTGGGACCGATTGAACTAGAATATTTGCTAACTCCAAAAATAATTTTTGTGAAGAGGGTTTTGCCTTGATAGAAGTTACTGTGGCTCAGGACAAAATAGTATTATGATTCAATTTCTATCCTTGGTAAACATTTTAGAGTAGGAACTCAGGTTTCCACTAAACTTTTATATATTGACTCACTTTATAGTAGAGACTATAGCTTTGAGAAAGAAATGGGGGAAAAGAATTCCAGTTCACAAATCACTGTTTCCCTTTTTAGCTTTGTGTTTGGGCTGAAATATTTCTTTTATATATAAATGTTCTATATGATGATGGTTATCATTATTGGCTACAAGTTTTTGTGTTTTTTTTTTTTTTTTACATTCTTCAGGCCCTTTCAGCTGGAGTTCCTAAAATAAACAATTATAAACTATTGTTTTTGGTTAGAAGTCACCAATGGGGCATGCCTCACAAAAATGGCAATTGTTGTGTAGAGCCACAAAGAATAAATAAGATTTCCACAGGTAGAAGAGTAGATAAAAGATACTTCCAGGTGGAGGGAACGGAATAAACAAAGGCACAAATGCTTGAACTTGCTTGGCACACTCAAGCAGAGGTGATTAGCTCAGTGCAGCCAGGGTACAATAGCTATGGGAGATACCCAAGGCTGGAAATATTCAGCCCTAAGTGATGGAAGCAAAGAATTCTAAAGTTCTATTCCTAATTGTCCGGAGTGCCCTTTTGAAGAAATGTGTTTAGATAGATTCTGAGGATGCATCTGGCTCTGGGATTAATGAGGGCTCACAAGAAGGGTCAACAGAGTATCAGGGCCCCATAATTTCTCTTTCATACCTTCTCTTAATTAGGCATATAAATATGCTCAGTGTCTTTTTCCTGCTCGTGATTCTCGTGGTGATATCTTGGAATATGTTTTGAGATCCTTGAGGGAGTCGTGAAATGTTGACTCTGTGGACAAGGGGGTTTTGCTTTTGGTTGTCATTTTAACCCTATCGGTGGGTACTCTGGCAGGACTGTCCTGGAACATAATTAAGTGGTGAGAACCATATGAAATACACCCTAATGTTCACATCTGAATTTCTGAATCAGTGATCCAGTCAAAGGGATGACTGAGTAACTATTAATCTGATTGGCTGCATGTATATATTTTCATTTAAAAGCTGATGGGGCACAGCCCTAATTTTTTTTCCCCAGAAGATGAATAGCTAAAGTAGACATTAGATCCTACTTCAGTGTTTACCAGAAAAGTTCACACTATCAAAGCACTTGCATGATGTGAATTTTTTTTTTGCCTTTTTTTTTTTAAATGTTTATTTACTTTGGAGAGAGCGAGCTGGGGACAGAGAGAGGGAGACACAGGATCCGAAGGAGGTTCAAGGGTCTGCACCAGCAGCACAGAGCCCAACGCAGGGCTTGAACTCACCAACAGTGAGATCATGACCTGAGCCGAAGTTGGACGCTTAACTGACTGAGCCACCCGGGCGCCCCAGGTGAATAATTTTTTAATAAACCAATGCAAATATTTTACATGCTTCAAAGAAACCCTGCTCAAAATCGTAATTTATGTGAAACCTCTCTCTGTTGTTCCCACTGTCTTTCAGTTCTGCCCAACAATCTCCTGGGGACAACCATATGTAGGCTTTTGAATAATACTGCTTGAAGATTTTATATTTAATTAACATGTTTTTTTTCAATTCGTGGACTTTCTTGGGGGGAACACATTTTAGCTAAAATCAGGATGTGTGCATCGTAAATTCTGTCTGCATTTCCTGTTCATCTCTCACCTCCTATTCCCTCCCCCTGGTACTAGTTATTAATTCCATGCTAGTTGATTTTGCAAAAAGAAGAGAATAAGACCATGATAAATAAGGCAGAAGAGATCTTCCAGTTCCCCTCCATTTTGAATGTGGCTCTTTGTATATCCTACAGTGCAAAGTTTGAGATGACTGTTCCACAGGGTCTTCAGGTACTGGATGAATATTTTATTTCCAATATTTTAGAATTATTTTGATTTAGTAACCTAATAAGCTCAATTAGTTCTTAGTGCTGGAGCAAACACTTTGACTTTTAGCTAGATAGTAAGTTAAAAACCTTAGAATGTAAATCTATGGGGAATTTTAAAGGTTGTCCAGTCCAGCCACAGCTTTGGAAATAGGGCCTCGTCCTTGAAGAACCTTCTCCACCCTTTAGGCCTAGAGTTGTGCTTGGTCATCCCTCAAACACTTCCTGTCCCATTATTCTGACCATAAAACAGCAGTCTTCAAGCCAACGTAAATTTTCTAGTGGCCACATATCTGTGGCATACAGATAAGTTGTGTAATGCTCAGCAAAGTACCCAGTTTGGGCCTCAGGTCTACCACCTCTTAGATTTGCAACCAGTGAAGTTACCACCACTGAGCCTTATTCATTTATCCAAGGCATTCAGAAAATCATCCATGTGTCAGCACTAGCCCAGATGCTGAGCATACAGTGTTCAACAAAACAGACATAGTTCCTGTTCACAAAGAACTCTGCTTCTGGGAATATACAACAAAGAGTTACCATTTGCAACCCAGAAGGTCAGTTCTCTGATAGGGAGAGCCCAGGCTTGGAAATGGGGCCTGCTGGACAGGAAAACTGTTTGGTGTCGTTACCTCAAAGCTGAGACAGGAATAATTATGAGTTCCTTAACTTTCTTCCATGTAAATGGTGACACACCTACCTTGTTGGGTTAGAGTGAGAGACCAAAACAATGAATGTAACATCCCAGAGCTGTGCCCAGCAGTTCATTATTGAGCCAGAAAACATACATTGAATAGATAGCATTCAGGCAATCGGGATTCAAAAATGAGTAGGGTGCTGTCCCCATCCTCATGGGTCTTACAGGCCAGAGGTCCAGCCCTAGCTTCCAAGGCTGCTGTATTATTGCTGTGCCCCCCACCCTTGCCTGTTCACCTGTCTGCATCTCAAGAGCACCAGCTTAGGGAAGCCAGGAATGCTTGTTTCTCTCTTGTCTGCTGTTGTATGTTCAATGCTCAGCAGTTCCTAGCTGACCTTGGCTGCACAGATGCAGCCCATGCCCTCCCTCACCTTTTCAGTTCACACCTGCCCAAGTTTTTACGGCCAGACCCTGCATTTGTTTGCCAGAAGGTCTCCTCTGGCTGCCAAAGCCCACTCAGACCACACCTGGGGATGTGATGGGGAATTAAGCCCCATCCAGTTGCCCCACATCCTACCCCCCTCTGAGGAATTATACTTACCCCCATGGCAATTGCTTGATTAGTAATTTACCCTTCTTTGGCTGTTTTCCCTCTTTTTTTTAAAAGTTTATTTAGTTTGAGAGAGAGATAGGTACTAGCACCAAGGGGGAGGGAGAGAGAGAGAATCCCAAGCAGGATCCACACTGTCAGCACAGAGCCCAATACAGGGGCCCGAACTCATGAACCGTGAGATCATGACCTGGTCTGAAATCAAGAGTTGGACACTTAACTGACCTAGGCAGCCAGGTGCCCCTTCCCCCCAATTCCTAACCAATGATTTCAGGGGGGTCCCCCAACTCCACCAATTGCATTTGAATCTTTGTCTAAATGTCTGCCCAAACTAAAATGTCCACACAGCATCCAAATCTTTATCTTCTATCTAGATAATTCTGGTGCCTGTAAAGAGCCCATCTCATGATGGGAACTGAAAATGTCAGATAACCTTGCAACAACGGATGGATACTTGACCTGGACTCTGCTAATCAGACGCATGTACTCCATTCCCTGTCGTGAAGAAGGAAAAGACCAGAATTGATTCTGTTGACAGATGGTCACAGAGACCACGACCTGAATGAGCATTTGCAGCATCCAGTGTCGGCACTCAAGGCACAACACCACGCACAGAACATGGCTTCCCTGAATGGTTCTACCTGGATATTTTTGAGCCCTGCTCTTTTCCTTGCAACCTCCAAGCTTCTACTTCTCTTGTCCTCACAGAGATTCTTAGATCTCTCCAGTACCTTTTGTGATCAATTCCTTTCCTGCCAACCCATCACGTTCGGTTCCTGTAGCGTGTGCCTAAGGAGGTGGTCTGTGTGGGTCAGGACAGAACCAAGAAAACAGTCCTCTGCCTCTTGCAAGCAGTTGGGACTTAATACAGAAGTTGATGGAAGATCTGGAAAGCCAACCAGGGAGCAATGAGGTAATCCACAGATCAGTAGCATCTGGAAGCTGCCATCAACCCTGGAGCTGGAGGAACCATGGGGGAAGGAAGGAGCTAGAACCACAGGATGGGGGCTACCCAGAGAGGTGACCAGTTGGGTCGCAAGACCTGAGGCCACACCAGGGAAAGAGCCAGAAATAGACCTGAACGCCAACAGGCAATTGCCATGCACAAGTAATGGGAGCTCACATAATTTTTGGCTGAATGAAGAGGGCCAGGACCAGAACCTTGTGTTATACCAACTTTTAAAGGCTAGGGGAATTAGGCCTTGGCCTAAGGAGAAGCAGTCAGAGAGCCAGGAGGACACCGAGGCAAGAGTAGCATTCCCCATGCCACAGCTCTGAAGCCATCAAATCTGCCAGACCCCTAACTGGATTTCCACCAAACAGACCTCTGAATTATTCATCAAGTCCAGACAGGAGACTCAGAGTGCTTATCCATGAGCTTCGGGTATCATAGCTTCTAATCCAGGCTATTCCCTGGGTAACCTGAGTTATTAAGTAAGGATCACAGTGCTTGCCAACTTTCACTGGGCAAGATAAGAAGCAATGCATCATGGAGATTTTTAAATAGCTTGGCAAGATGGGGAAACACATCACAGCAGGAACCTTAATTGATAAAGTAGAGACAAGTGCACTCATTCTCACGGTTGGAAATTACGGGACTGTCCTACTTGACTTCCGTCAGTGGATGGATTGCAACATCTTTGTTAGTGGCAGAGCAGAAGACAAAACAAAGCTCTGTGTCTGGATTTGGGAGAAGGAACGTGGTGTGAAGGAAAGAGCACCGTTTCAGATCAGGAGAACCTCATTTGAATCTCACCTCCACTGCTCGTTAGCCTTGTGATTTTCGATGTTATTTTCAACCAAGCATTAGCCTTTTCCTGGTTAAAAGTGATGATGTGGGCCACTTATCATTCTGGGCACTTCATAAATATTTGTTCCCAAATCCCCCTTCTTTTTACCATAACTCTAGCCTAGGAAGAATTCTTTCTCCAAAAAAATGGCTGGGATGAATCATTTCAATAGGAAAAACGAATTAAAATCCAAAACTCGGCACTCCTGGTTATTATCGAAAGCACCACTTTCCCTGGGCAGTCTACATTCAAGGCTATTTAGTCAGAATTTCAGATGGTCTAAAAAAATTTTATCTGTGCCCATTTTGTTTCTTGAAAGAAAAACCTCACTTCCCTTGCATGCCATCAAATATCAGTTCATCTATATTTTGAGTGGGATTTCATCCTCCGTTGGTGCCTGGGTGTTTCTGTGACTTGAGCAAGGGGTCCCTGTGCCTTTATCACCTGGTTTCTGCCTGACGTGGCTGGAAAGATGATCGCCTCCAGGCCCATCACAAAGGAGCGGGGCCTCCACGGTGCATTAGCAGCACCAAGGAGTATTGCCAAGATACAGCATAAAAGACAAGACTCCATGGTTCCCCTCTGGGTTTCTGGAGCAGCTGTCTCTAGCTCAGCTGTGGAAATTTCAGTTCCTTCATTGAAACCCAAACACCTGTGTCCCCAGACAGGAAAATGCCTAATAAAGTGACTTCCTCCATGCTGGCTAGCCCTGTGATTTTATTCAGCCCTTAAGGACAGTGTGGGGGCTGAGGACTACATACCAGCCTAGCCAGAGAGGGAGGCAAGCCCCAGAGATGGTCACTGAGGTAGAAAAGTACTAGCCCACGTTGATACCTGGGGGCTGCGCTCAGAGTACTCAGGGCTTACCTTGGCTTTGAAGCATCAAATGGAAGGATGCCTGGGTGGCTCAGTGGGTTAAGCGTCCGTCTTCAGCTTAGGTCATCATCTTGGAGTTTGTGAGTTCCAGCCCCGCATTGGGCTCTTGGTTGACAGCTCAGAGCCTGGAGCCTGTGTCTCCCTCTGTCTCTGCTCCTCCCTGCTCACACTCTCATGCTCTGTCTCCAAAATAAATAAACCTTAAAAGAAAATGAAACATCAAAGATCAGACAAAAATCAGGTATCACTTAAACTTTGTCATTGCATGGGCAACCTGTATGCCTTCTTTCTCATTCTGCTGGCTCATCTTTGGGATGATACTCTTTAATTTCAGAGCACCCAAGGGATATTTATCCCTTTGTTTATATATCAGTTATCTGCCTTTAAATATCTCACTTGACATGACTTTGTTTTAGAAAATAGCATTTCAAACCCAAATTTTTTATATTT